GCACCCATCACGCAGATCGGCGGGGTCAGGGTCGGTCCAAAAACACATGGGATTTGCCACATTTCTGAAATTCCGTGGCACCCCTCACGCAGATCGGCGGGGTCAAAGTCCGAAAACACAGGGGATTTGCCACATTACTGAAATTCGATGACACCCCTCACGCAGATCGGCGGGGTCAGGGTTAGAAAATTCAGCATTTCTGAAATTTGCCGGCACCCCTCACGCGGATCGACAGGGTCAGGGTCCAAAAACACAAGGGATTTGCAACATTTCTCAAACATTGGCTGGCACCCATCACGCAGATCGGCGGGGTCAGGGTCGGTCCAAAAACACAAGGGATTTGCAAATTTCTAAAATCCGGTGGCACCCCTCACGCAGATCCGTAGGGTCAGGGTCCAAACACAAACAGGTCCCCAAAACAACGGGTCACGGCGACGCCCAGACCTCATGATTTAGCTTTTGCATCTCCCATTATCCGAGACAGGGGGCCGGCGGCATGGGGCGAAGCCCTTACGGTAGTTCTACATATCCCGCCTCGAAAACACATGCCCGCGCCCTGCTGCGCCGATGCGAGACTGCGAGTGGAACCCCAGCCAAGGGTAAAGCACAAGGAAGCATCGAACGACAGGATTGGCTTGGTGGGGATGGGGGCGGTCGGTGGCGAAGCAAAGACCTGGCCCTGACTAGAAAGGGAGGGGGTCTCGAGCAGGGGTGCTGTTGTTGCTGGGAACGGCGCCACTGCAGAAGAGAGTAGGGCGCTAGTCCAGCGTGAAACAACACGATGTTTCCAGCGCAAGCGCTGGTTCTGTTGGGACGGCTGTTGTGGCGGCGAAGAGGAGCACCGTAAGAAGGGAAGAAATCTCGAGCGGGAGCCGCGTTTTTTTCGGGACGGGGACTGTCGGCGGCGAGGAGCATCACCGTCTTCAGGAAAAAGGGAGGAAGCTTCGAGCGGAAGCTTTGTTCTTGCTGGGGGCAGCGCCAATTCAAAAGAAAATTGGGCGCCAGTCCAGCGTAATACGGGAGGAAGTCTCGAGCGGGAGCGCTGGTTTTGTTGGGGCGGCGGTTTTCTGAGGCGGGCAAAAACACTGGCTCTGAACAGAAAAGGAGGAATTCTCGAGCGGGAGCGTTGTTCTTGCTGGGGGCGGCGCCGATGAGAGAAAGAGTAGCGCGCCAGTCCAAGGTAAGACGGGAGAAAGTCTCGAGCGGGAGCGCTGGTTTTGTTGGGGCGGCGGTCTTCGGCGGCGAGCAAGAGCACCGTCTCTGGGTGAACAAAGGGGGAAGTCTCTAGCGGGAGCGTTGCTGTTGTTGCTGCTGCTGCTGTTGTTGTTGTTGTTGTGGTTGTTGTTGTTGTTGTTGTTGTTGTTGTTGTTATTGTTGTTGTTTTTGTTGTTGTTGGGGGGCCGGTGTTGGCGCCGCTCCAAACCGCCCGAGCATGAGCCTCATTTCCAATGAAAATGTAGCCGGCGCTGGGGCGAGAGCGCCAGGGCGCCTGGAGGGGTCCAACCATCATAGTTGGTTAAATAATCAACATGCAACAGCAACAACAACAGTCATCATGTTAAGACTGTTCGCCCTTATCTGCTCCAGTGCCATCCAACGTGTATTTCCCACACCATCGATACCCGCCCTCTTCGTCTTCGATCGTACCCCGTTTTGTATGTTTCTTCCTTGCATGCTGGGCCCCGGCAAGCGGCGGGGCGGCCGCGGACCGTCGGCCTGGCCAGCGGCAGCGCTGATCGGGAGCAGCCCGACCCCAAGAGGGACGGACAGGGGACCGACCACGACGACAACGACGACGACGACGACGGCGACGGCGACGGCGACGAGCGAGAGCGACAGCGGGGCCACGAAAGGCAAGGGGGCCACGAAGGGCGACAGCGGGGCCACGAAGGGCACGCGTATGTGGCCACAAAGGGCGCGAACGAGCGGGGGCCACGAAGGGCAGATAATGCGGGGCCACAACGGGCAACGACGGGGCCACTGAGGGTAGCAACGGGGCCACGTAGGGCGGCGAGGGGGCCACGAAGGGCGACAGCGGGGCCACGAAGGGCATGCATATGGGGCCACGACGGGCGCGAACAAGCGGGGGTCAAGAAGGTCATGCGTACATTGGACCGCAGAGGGCAAGAACGGAGCCACTGAGGGCAGCAACTGGGCCACGAAGGGCAGCGAGGGGGCAACGAAGGGCGACAGCGGGGCCACGAAACGCGTGCATAATGGCCACGACGGGCGCGAACGAGCGGGAGCCACGAAGGGCATACATCTACGGGACCACGACGGGCAGCGTGGGGGCCACAACGGGCTGCAATGGGGCCACGAAGGGCAGCGAGGGGGCCACGAAGGGCTGCAACGGGGCCACGAAGGGCAGCGAGGGGGCCACGAAGGCCTGCAACGGAGCCACATCGGGCAGCGAGGGTGCCACGAAGGGCTGAAACGGGCCCACGAAGGGCAGCGAGGGGGCCACGAAGGCCTGGAACGGGGCCACAGAGGGCAGCGAGATCCCGATTCCTGAAAAAGCTGTGGGGGAGTCCTAAGCGCGAGAGCGACTCGTGGGTGCCAGAGTGTCGGGAGAGGGGCGCTAGAGTAACCTGCGGGGAATTCCAACGCAAGAGCGCGATTCTGGAATACATTGCATGCAAGTCTCCAGTAAGAGCGCGACTCCAGAGCGCCGAAAAAAAACGACTCCATAATACATTGCAAGGTAGTCCCCAGCGACAGCGCGATTCCTGGGTAAAATGCGAGGAAGGCTCAGGCGGGAGCGGGGGTCCTGGCTAAATTGTGAGGAAGTTTCAGGCGGGAGCCACTGTTGTTGTAATCTGGGGGCCGACAACCTAGTTTTAGCCTAATAACTTTCCCTGATAAGAGACAGGGTGCGAGCCCCGGAGGACGCACCTTAATTAAAAAACAATGGTCACCAGAGGGGGGGATCAACACACATTCTAATCTTTAGTCGTGAGAGTTCAACAACAATAACAGCAGCAGCAACAGCAACATCAACAACAGCAGCAATAGCAACAGCAACAACAACAGCAACAACAACAACCATTCAAATACTGTTCGGTCGTATCTGCCCGAGTGTCATCCAACGTGCATTTCCCAAACCCTCGATGCCCGCCCTCGTCGTCTTCAATGTACACACTTTGGAGGTTATATCTTTCTTCTCTGCAGTCCGGGCCCGGGCAAGCGGCGGGGCGGCCGCGGACCGTCGGCCTGGCCAGCGGCAGCGCTGATCGGCGGCAGCCCGACCCCAAGAGGGATGGACAGGGGACCGACGACAACCACGACGACGACGACGACGACGACGACGAGGACCCGGGGGAGGAGGAGGACGAGGAGGACGATGACGAGAAAAAGTAAGAGGAAGAGGGGGAGGACAAGGCGGAGGAAGAGGAGGAGGTGGAGGAGGAGGAGGAGGAGGAGGAGGAGGAAGGAGGGGCGAGAGGCGACTGCAGTCCCTAACGAGCGGGTCGCGCAGGCGGGACTCGACGGGCGGGTCGAGCGGGCGGGTCGCTGAAGCGTGAATCCTGCTTGAATGGCAACGATTTTTTAGCGAAAGCGCAGCTCCCAAGAAAATCTGAAGGAAGTCCAAAACGAAAGCGCGATTCCTGAGTGTCGGGGGGCGGCATCTGAATACATTCTGAAGGGGTTTCAAGCGAGGGCGCGATTGCTGAGTAGATTGCAAGGACGTCTCAGGCGAAAATGCAATTCAGGCGGGAACCGTTGTTGTTGTTGTAGTTCGGGGGCCCGCCGCCCGTGTCGAGGAATGGCATCTGAATAAATCGTGAAGAAATCTCAAGCGAGAGCGCGATGCCCGAATAGACTGCAGGGAAGTCTCAGGCGAAAACTGGGTTCCTCAATACATTGTGAGGAAGTGTTCAGCGGGAGCCGCTGTTGTTTTGTAACTCGGGGGCCCGCCACCCAGTTTGAGGCTCAAGGCTTCCCCAGTTCGACAAAAAAACAGGGTGCGAGCCCTAGGAGGGGCACTTCAGTAAGAACAGTCAAATGATTACCGGAAGGGGGATCAACAATACTTCGCCGGCCCAACGGGCCAAAGGCGCGCTAAGATCTCCGGCGACTGCTGTACACTATCTCTGCTGCGCGCGCGCGGGGCGGCCCCTGGGGGTCCCCGGACGAAAAGTACCTCGGCCGATCCCTTGCCAGAGATTGCTTTTCTCCTGGCCGCTGGGGATATATCTTCCTTACCTGCCACGTGCATTTAGCGCAGCCCCTAAAACAGGGGAGGTGAGGACGGATGGAAGGAGGAGGGAGAAGGATGGAGCACGAGAGAAATTAGCAGAAGGGGGGCTAGGAGCAGAAAACTCGTGGCAGAACCAGACGGGCAGATCGGGCGGGCAGATCCTAGCGAGCGGGTCGGGAAGGCGGGCCCAAGCGGCCAGGTCGAGAGGGCCGGTTGCTGAAGCGTGAGTCCTGTATGAATCGCGAAGATGTCTCGAGCGATAGCGTGATTCCGGAGTAAGTCGAGAGAAAGGCCAAAGCGGAAGCGGGATTCCTGAGTGTCGAAGGCGCGGCGTCTGAAAAAGTTGCGCGGAAGTCCCACGCGAGAGCGCGATTTCGGAATACATTGGGAGGAGGTCCTGGTCGAAAGCGCGATTTGGGAACACATTGTGAGGGCGTATCAGGCGGGAGCCGTTGTTGTTGTTGTTGTTGATGTTGTTGTTGCTATAGTTCGGGGCCCAACAACCCAGTTTGAGCAGGAAGACTTTTCCCGATCAAAAAACAAGGTGCGAGCCCTTAAGGGACACTTCAATTGAAAAACACAATGTGCACGGGTTAGGGAGGATCAACAATAGCTTTTCTTCAAGGGTGTGAATACTTAACAGCAACAGCCCGCACTGCAGAACCTCACTTCAGCCACGCGCCCAAGGACAATGAATGCCCGTTCGACCCCCTCACTCTGATGTACTTCTCCGGAGAGGGCTTAGGAATATATAAATGTGGGATGGACTTCCTTTGGCCACATCCTCCTTCCCACCTCCCGCCTTGGAAAGAAACTCCCGGATCCTCTCGAGCCGGGTGAGGACTGACACAGGGTCGCAAAGGAACTTCGTGCGCATTGTCACCTTCTTCGCTGGTGCGGGTTGCGGTGGGGTAAGGGGAAAGGGCAGACACATGAAGAGAAATGCAGGCATGGCGATTTGGAAGTTCACGGTGCGACTGAAGGGGAAATGGTGAGAGGTGAGGTCGCGGGCAAAGGGGAGAATGAAAGCGACTGGGTGAAGGCGAGGAGAAGGGAGCGATGAGCGGAGGGATACCGAGAAAAAATGCCATAGCAGAGCAAGACAACTGTGCGGGAAGGAGATGGGGAACGAATGAGAATATGAGGAGAGGGGAACGGGGTATTTCAGAGAAGTGGGGACACTAAAGAAGGAGAGGGCCTGCGGAGAGGATGATGATAAGGATGATGATGATGATGCGCATGTTGATGATGATGCTGATGATGGTGATGATGATGGTGATGACGACGATGGTGATGATGGTGATGATGGTGATGCTAATGATGATGCTGATGATGATGCTGATGATGAAGATGCTGATGGTGGTGATGATGATGGTGATTATGATGCTGATGATGCCGATGCCGATGATGATGATGAGGAAAAGGCGGAGGAGGATGAGGAGGGGGAGGGGGAGGAGGAGCAGGAGAAGGCTGAGGGATGAGGGGGAGTAGGAGGAGGAGGAGGAGTGGGAATGGGAATGTCTGTTCACTAAGTGAAAAAAAAAAGAAAAAGGGGCCTTATCCCAGGGAGGTATCCTTCCGAGCAGAGGCCAGCCGATTCTGTTGTTCGGTCTTACTCAACACTTTAGGTTGAAGGCCAAGCTCGATTCTACGAAGGTACTCGGTACCCGTGGGTGAGGCCTTGAGACTACACTCCTTGTGAAGGTTACACTTCCTCTGACTGGCACAACTACCGCAGACATGACAAAACCACAACTGAAGCTTAGTACATAATCTCATACTGTGGCTCTTATGGACCCAGCCCCCCCCTATGTGAATATTGTCTTCAGCCCCGAGGGTGAAAAACGAACCATTTACATTCACAGGGTGAAAACAAGGGCTGGCCTTCCAGAGGCCTGCGGTGGCCAGGGAGGCCGTACCAAAACACCTGGTGCAGCTCTTGCCGCTCTCCGACAATACGTGGGAGGTCGTAAAATTAACAACTACAGACTTAGCAGGAGGTGGGGGAGGAGGAGGAAGACGCTTTCCTCTCACATGTCCAGCTCCTGCTCGTACACTGTCCAGAGCAGCATGCAGTAGCCGATGCCTGAGAAGGTACGTCTCATTCTCCAAGACATGAATACGATGCCGAACTCCTGAATCCAGTCGAACTTCCAGCGCCATCAGTCCCACGATCTCATCAATCACAGTGTTACCGACGATCTGCCAAGCTGGGGCTTGGCCTGACACCATCTGCTCTGCCCCTTGGTGGGAATGTACAAAGATAACTTCAATAAGAGACGCACTCTTAGTCATAAGAATCTGGCCAATCATCGCCCATATATCTGCATCTTCCCCTTTGGGGCAGAGATACAACTGGGCATTCCATCCTTTGAGTACGTTCTCGCAATCAGTGATGAATTGTGTATGTCCACGACATGTGAATACACAGAGCCAAAACGCCTTGAGTTCTCCTCTCGCCACGGTCTGCCGCATACCGGCAAGCCCTCCAGCAATTGAACATTCAATAATAGTGTCACCTAGTACCTGGCTGACAACGGCGATGCCGAGCGCCACTCGGCGCAGTCGGGGGTCCGCTGTGTCTGGGCCCCCGCTGGCATCTCCAAAAACTCGCGTCGGTGCTCGTTCAGATCCTGCTGGTAAACAGTCCGCTGTGAATCCATGGCTAAGTCCGTCCACATGCCAATCATCTGCAAACTGCGGGGCTGGCGTGTCCGTCCACGCCTGCGGAATGAGGCCGCGATACCAATAACATGGTTGAGATTCACCTTGACTACACGCACGAGGAATCATGAAGTCGCTCTTGACGTACACAGGGTTGTCATTGTTAGAGCTGCATAACCATGATCTGTGCAATGACGTTTCTTCATGCTCCTTACACCTGTCACAAATACCGTTCAGGCTCGGGTCTTGGACCGACTGCAGGGGTTTCAGCTCAGCCTTCTTCCTTGCTTTGGTCCAAGCCCCTCCGATAGCAATGTTTAGCAACAGTCCTGCCAATCGCTTCCCTTTTCCAGAAATACTACTAAGTTGTTTGAGCAATCTGCGATATGAATAGGTGTCCGTTCCATCTTGAAGTCCTTCACCTTCGTGATGTTTGCAAGCATTGATCCAAAAGGGTTTCATCGCCGCCGTACGAAGATCAACATAGAATTCTTTGAAACTAGCCTCGTCTATCGCCTCAACGCCCGTGAAGTTCTCGTCGGGGAATTCCCATGCTGTCATACCTGGAGGATCCCACGCGGTCGGTGAGCGAGGTGTCCAACCAATCTCTAATAGATGGCATAGCACTGCGGATAGAGGTCCACGAATGTGCCTTGATCTCTGTGCCTGAGGCAAAGCTTCCAATTTCTGGCGAAGACGAGGCCATGACCGAATGATACCCGCTCGGGACTCAGGCCGTGTCCGCCAGTTGTGCAGCCACAGTGCGAAAGTACCTTGAATGAAACGTGCTGCGGGGTCTTGGCCGTGAGCTTCCAGTTCAAGAAGTGTCGTCAGACATCGGCCCTTTCCCCGCGCATTACAAGCTGCGCCCAGTCGACGTCGATATCGAGTGAGCTCTTGTCCACCAACTCCGAAGATTTCATATCCATAACTACCTGCAGCTTGGGCGCCCAGGCGCTCCAGTCGAGAAGTAATCGCTGTCCTACGAATAACCTTCTTGTACCTGACAACCTTCCTGTGCCGATTGAGATGCCGTGCAGCACGCTTGCGTCGTTCAGCTCGAGAATGCCGAACTCCTGCTCCCAGATCGACGCCCAGGTAGCTGGTAGATTTGGCCGCCGTCATTGTGATCCCACGAAGCTTCAAGGTTCGAACCACGTCCTTGGCCAAACTCAACTTGGTGCAGACCACTGTCGACTTAGATGCCACCTTGAGACCCTGTCTGTGGAGGCCCCTGGCGGTCGCGACCACGCACTGAACCAGATCTTTCTTGACCTGGGATTCAGAACCAACCGTGGCCTGCGAGATGTCGTCTATCCAAAGCCGGTGCGAACACCGAACTTGCGATGTGGTGATCGCCTCCATGATGAAGAACGTCATCGCTCTGGCCAGTCTGGTACCAGCTCGCAAGCCTTGAATGATACTGCATGTCGGCTCAAACGCCATCGAAAAGGATCCAATCTGATTGAGTGTGCGTGGGTGAGCACATTGTAATAGTTCCATGTACAAGATCGTGGGTGGGAAGCCCAGTCGGAGGGCCGCTCGGGAAAGCTTGAGCCATAGCATGTTATCGTAGTAGCCGTCAATATCGGTGAGGGCATGTCCGTGCGAAACATTGAGGATACCCGCGACCTCCTCATCCAGGACTCTCCTGAAAGCCTCCCTCAACGACGAATTTCCACGAACCGCCGCGTCCCAGGAAGGCTCGGTCCGACTGGACCAAGCCTTGGACCAGGGCTCCCTGGACATACTCCATACCCTGGATAACATCGTGATGAGCCCGATCACCCTGTCTCCCGAAAGCTTTTTGGGTAGGAGTCGACCGATGACTATCATGGTCTGCACTGGCCAGGCGAGGATCTCCTCGGCTGTGTTGAATAGGGCAGCTAATTCGGCAACTCCTGCATCTGGGAGTCGCTCCATGTCACATGGTGTGAGTTGGTCCGCACCAAGACCAGCACGAGGTTTCATGGCTCTGAGAGCCTTGCGCACTTCAGGGACACCCAATTCTGGAAGAGGATCGGGATCATCTCTGACGGCCTGTCTAACAATACCCAAGACGTGGATGATGGACTCGTGGGGCTCGGATAACTTCGGGGCCCATTTACGCTTCCAAAGAGACGTCTTGTGATCCACAATATCTTTAGGATGATGTAATATACTGGTGCCATCGAAGACCTCCAAGGTGGGGACGGGGCCCTGACGCATGGCCCTGTGGAGAGCACCCAGAGAGTTCCCCGTGATGGCCCAGTCCTGGAATTCACGAAGAGAGGCGTGGAGGGCTCTCCGTTGGCTAGCACGCATGACTTTAGCCGAGTACTGGGAAAACATATCAAGGTGCATGATCGAACACTTGTCGACGGACGCGAGAATGTTTAGCCATTCAGACCAGGGTGGAACCAAGCACGTACTAACACAAGTGTGGACCTGATCGGGCCGATCTTCAAGGAGGCGTCGACATTCTCGCTCCAGACGTGCTCGCTGCGACACACCGTTGTTCCTTGAACGATGCTTATGCAAGGAATCTAAAATAGTGTGCAATCTCGTCCACCAGCCTGCCACTTGATCTCGCAACGGTGTCGATCTGCATCTGTTCGAGACTCGCACCTGCTGCAATTCAAAAGTCGGCACCTGAGATCGCAGTGCTCCCTGGTTGGCTTCGCATCCATGGTGAGCTCGAATGGTATTCTCAACTGTGGTCACCCAAGAGGCATACATCCCACTAATCATCAGGGTCTTTTCAGGGTCCACCTGGAAGGCTCTGGAGTTCTTGATGTACGCGGGGACGTGGAGTTGAGAGGAGGAGGAGGAGCCTACTTCCTGCCGATGCCTTTCCCAAAGGGCCTCAGGAATCATATAACTAATGGTGCTGGGACCTCGGGGCTCGGGGGGCTGGGTCGACGCCAAACAAGGGTCTTGGCTGCTGCTAGGATCGGCCCTGACCCCATCGGGGCCGCAAGGCCGCGGCACGCAACCGGCAACGGAACCACCACCAGGCTTCCGCAGAGACCCCGCGGGGACGACGCGACCGCCAGCTTCCACCGAGACAGAGCTAGCAGCGCCATTAAAGTCAGAAGGTGACGTGGGAGGGAGGGCCTCTGAGCCCTTCTCCTCCACAGCAAAATTAAGTTCGTCCGCCCAAGGATCCTCCTCCGAGCAGACTGAGAGATCATCGTGAAACATGTCCGAGCTAGCGGCACTCTGCTGGGGCTCAGGGCTCTCAGGAGTGCCTGCATCAGGAGGCTGCTGGCGGCCCTTGGTCTTGACCTCGTCAATGGCCGAGAACACCTCCCCAAAAAGAAGTTCATACAATTCCTCTCGCTTGGTCGCAGTAGCTCGAGAACGTTCCTTGCGTTCGGCTCTCGCACGACTGGCCTTGGAATTAGGATCAGGCTCCTGACCAGGTCTCGGTAGTTGAGGTAATTTCGCAGCCAATGTCAACACTCGTGTTATGAGCTGCTCCCCTTTGTCCCGCAACTTGAGACGTAGGCCGATGTGCGTTTTCCATGGAACTGCAAGCTCTGGTTCCACAGAATGGATGAAAGAAAGAGCTGATGTACTGCACACCACAAAGTCGATGTGCGAGCCCTTCTCCCCCTTGTTGCATGTGTAGTCCACATTGGCCGTGAGGATGTGGCCTCCTATTCGTGAAACAAACTCTGCTTTGTTGATCGCTGCCGCGCTGATGTTGAAATCAGCTACCACCACCCATGGAAGTTGCAGCGCATATAGCAGAGCCCCTAGACGGCGGTACCGCATGATGTTCGGGCCCGTGAACCCGTAGGAGCAGTAGCCGTAGAAGGTCACCAGCACGAAGGAGTAGCCCTTCATGTGGACTAGGACCGCGCAGAAGCCGTCGTTGGTCTGCGACCCGTCGCTCTGCAGCAAAGGTGCTGAAGCCAGACTCAAGGAATGTACTCGAAGATGCCCGTGAGTGATGATGGTGAGGAGGTCTCAGGCGAAACGCCCAGCCCGCCCTAAACATTGGCCTCGGGGTGCGACAGGGAGAAATTATTCTTTATAAGGAAAAGGAATTAAGAAGGAGGAACAAGAGGAAGAGGAGGAGGGGGAGGAGGAGAACGAGGTGGAGCAGGAGGAGGAAAAGGAGGACGGAGGAGGATCTGGGAGGAAAACAACAGGGAGGAGGGTAGCGAATGGAAGAGAGGGCTTTGGTCACCAGCAGCAGTGTGAACAAACAGCTTTGCATCACTGAGGGGGGCAGGGGGAAAGCCCATAGCTTTAAGTCGGGCGTGTCCCCTTCAGGGGGATGTTCGACGAAACAATAAAAACAAAAAACCAAGCAATACTCCCAAATGGTCAACAATGTTCAAAAGATAGTCACCCGACTATTTTTTTGCCTATTTTTGAATATTCCTCCTGTAGAGGAACGGACCCGACTTAGTCTTAGGACTTTGGGTGCCCATAGCTCATAGCGCGTGGCACCGACTCGTGGCAACGAAACCGCCTTGCGGGACGGCCCACCAAACGATTCCTGCCCCAATTGTCGGACCCAACAATCATATACCTCCCGGCCTGAAGAATCAAAGCCGTGCTGACGGGAGACTCGCTATTCACCCGTCTCCTTCAATATCGTAAAACCTCCAAGCGGAAACGACGATAATCGACGGATGGGCATGGAGCGTGTGGCTTAACGCCCCCACATGGTTCAAGGGGGTGGACACAATATCGCCCAAGGATCATATCGAGACGACCCAGAACGGTTCCCAAACAGCTCAAGGCGGCTGCAAGACGACCCCCGAGGACCCCTCAGGATGGATCCTCTCTCGATCGCTCTCTCTCTCTCTCTCCCTCTCTCTCTCTCTCTTTCTCTTTCCTTCTTTCTCAATATAAGTGCTTACGTCTCTCTCTCTCTCTGTCTCTCTGGCGAAACGCATATGTTAATATATCTATATATACATATGCATAAGGAGGCCGAGCAGTCATTCACTATCCCTGGGCGCGTGGCTGAAATGAGGTTTCTCGGTGTGGATTGTTGTTGAGCTCTCGCTACTGACGAATCATTATTGTTGATCCCCCCATCCGGGGCACGATTTGAAGGTCTCATGCCTCCTCCACCTGAGGATCGCCCCCACTATTGGCAGTCCCAGCAGTCCGAAGCGAAACCACCACGCGGACAGCAAACATATGAAAAGACGGGCGAGCCAGAATCCTTCACGTCGGAGCAATTTTCGTTCTGCATGATCCTGAGGTTCAGGGCACTGAAGCTCCTGCCAGGGCCGCCCGCGAGCGAGACGCAGACGCGACCGTTCACGAGCTTCACCACTTTCCCCGCTTTGCAATTGAAGAACATAGGCCGACGGTCAACACCAGGTCGTGCATGAAGATCGGTTTTCCATCGACGTCCTGGAGCTTCAGGACTCAGCACCCGGGGATGAGTGGCACGGTTCTCAGACACGGCGGTGTCGTCGGAGGGGTGGGCCACGCCACTGGGCACAGCGGGCAGCTCGGTCGCTCCAGGCTCCTCGAGAACAATATCGCGCTTGCACGTGCGAGGCTCGATCTCTTCCTCAAGGGCGGCGAGCCTGTCCAATACCACCTAGTGCTGTTTTGTCGGCTCCATAACCACTGCCTGGGTCGGGCTCTGGAACACCGAGTAAGGCTCGACGCGGCATGGTGCCTGAAGGAATCAAACGCCCCCTCAATGCTCGACAACATCTCAGCACGAACGCCCGCTAAGTCCGGAATGGCGGCGTCGACCGTGGTGGAGATCATTTTCTGCGCGTCTCCCTGGACGTCCGTCCTGAGCGCTTCGAGCTTCGGCGGCAGCCGCTTATCCAATAAAGCTTCGAAAGAAGAGCCACAAGTAGAGGCAAGGTCAACCGCCCTCCTGTCCAATTTGTCCAGGCTTAGGTCTTGAGAGAAAAAGTCCGTTGCAATATGCACAACGCGGGCGTCACGAAGGGCATCACATTGTTGCATTCAGAATACAATCGTGGCATTCCGGGTGCCGTAATTTGTCTTAAAACCCACCGAAGCGACATCGGTCGCAAGGGGACAGAATACTGGTGAGGCTCCGTCAAGCCCTAGACGAATATCTTCGCGTGCAGTTGCAGCGGGATGCACGCGGCCTCCAACAGCAGCGTCGGAGCGAATCGAATTATCCGAATAAATTGGCACACGGGTGCGGGGAGCGACCTAATGGATGTAATAAGCAAGACGCAGAATGAAAATCTCGTCAACGCAATCCTGGAATTCTAAACTATCTTCACTCAGGCTCCGCCGAGGCCTTTCCGTACGTCTCCAGAATGGCGGGATGCACGACAAGAGCATCGCCTGCTCGGCCACGTTCGCACCAGCGCTGAGGCGCCGTCGCGCCAGAGATGGCCACCCGTGCGGGATCGAATTGGCCGGGTGCGAGATCGCCGCGGACTCGCACCCGTGCACGTGGACCAGGAAGAAGTGCAGCGTGAGGTGCGCACACACGAAGAAGCAACGGGCGATCAGCGAGAAGACAGCAGCAGCACCGCGGAAGGGCGAGGCAGGGCCCATCATCATCTCAGGCTTGGAGCCGAGATGGGAAGCATCACGAACAGCGGGCAGGCGAATTGGCGCAACCGATGGCAAACATGGCTTGAGCCAACATGGCTACATATCTATACGCATACATGTGTATACGTATCTCTGTAATCTAAACATGTGCAAACATCATATGCGGCGTCTCTATATGCATCACCCCCCTCTAGTCAATGTGCGTATGTAGATACAACGAAAAATGTGCATGCACACATCTATATGCACTCTCTCTCGTACTCTCTCTCTCTCTTGCTCTCTCTCCTTGTTTTGTTTGTTCTGTCTACCTCTCTTCCACTCTCTACCCGTGCCTCGCTTACGCTCGCACTTTCTCTCTCTCTCTCTCTCTCTCGCACCTCTCCCATGCAGGAGCGGTGCGCTGACCGACAAAGCGCCCACCGCCGCGTGGGCAGTGGCGCAGGCTCCACGGACCACCGGCTCGGCCTCGGGCTCCAGGGGGCGCCCGACGTGCAACAGGCGCACGCCTCTGGGCCGGCGGCCCCGCGCCCTCGGCCCCGCCTGCTGCCCCACTGCCTCCTGCCCGCCCTGCCCTCCTGCTCTCCCCCGTGCTCCTGCTCCGCTCCAGATCCTGCATCCCTTGCCGCTCGTGCCCCGCTCCTGCTTGCACGTCCTGCTAGCCCCTGCTCTTCCTGCTCGTGTTCATCGTCGTCGTTGTCCTCCTCCTCCTCCTCCCCCTCCTCTCCTCCTCCTCCTCCTCCTCCCCCCTCCTCCCGTTCCCGGCCCTCTCTCTGCTACTCCCCTTCCCCGCGCTCGTCATACTCATGCTCTCCTTCCCCCTCCTCCCTCTCCATTTCCCACTCCTCCCGCTCCTTCTGGTCTTCACTCCGTCCTTCTCCTCATCTCTCCGCTCTCCCTTCGCTCTTCCCCTGATGATCCTCCTCTTTGTGGCCTGCCACTTCCCGGCATTCACCCTGGGCTCTGCTAGGGACCCCCCCTGCACGGGCTATGCAACATATTCTTCTCGCAACGACCTGCGAGATGCTCGTAGGACTCTTTCAAGACTACCGCAAGATGCTCTCACACAAAAAACCCATTTGCCTCTACCGCGCCCGCGCCCCACCCGTAAGGCAGCGGCATCCCCAATCCATCGCATACGCCACATCCGAGACAAATATTGTAGAACACCGCGGATCTAGGATATTCCGCTGTAAGAGCATCCCAACAAAGCGGACGCGTTGAACATTTCGGGCGATTGCGAGTGGGAGCCATGAGCTGGGTTGGCAAGTGCATGCGCAATATGATCCGCCACCGTGCCCCTGCCGAGACGTGGCAGAATGCGACGGGCTGCCTGGTAGGGTTTCGAACATCTTTTGCGGGACGCCTTTCTGGCCATACTGAAGCGTATGCATTGCCCCCCTGTGGTTCCGCGCTCCCCAGGGCACACACCCTTATTGAAAAGTTCGCCAATGTAGGCCCCAAACAGTAAGTTATTTCACACTGGATGCGTAGGCTATCGGATATAAGCCATGTGTTGGAAGCTATGTGGTGCACAGTATGTTGGGTAAGCTTGGTGCAACCTGCGTGAGGCAATCGATGTGGTATAAGCAATGTGGTACCAGCCATGGTGTAAAATATGTGGTGTATATTACGTGGTGTAAGCTATGTGATGCAAAGTACGTGGCGAGGACTATGTGGGCCAGTATACGTGGTGCAAGCTATGTGGTGTAAGCTATGTGTTCAAGCTATGTGGTGTAAGCTGCGTTGTGCAAACTACGTGGTCTAAAACATGTGGTTTACGTTATGTGGTCCGAACTGTGTAGTGCGGCGACGGACAGGGCCGGGCCGGCAAACGGGCCATTCATTGAGAAACAATTGGCTGCGACGGACGAGAACGGGGCCACCCGGCCCGCAAACGGGCCCCGTTCCTTAGAAGAATAATGAGAAACCCCGTGTGGGAACACTGTCAAGCGAAGCATGGGTCCGCACTGCTGAGGCCGCCATCCCTGGTACAACAACCAATGGATCTGTGCATCCGACGCATCGACTCTTCGAACAAGGACAAGGGGTCCGCGCTCCCGAGCGTCCAAAGACGGCCGAGGTTGGCAACAAAGCCCGCCAAGATGACCCAAGTTGCCTCCCAGGCGGCCCACAGATGGCCTCAACGCGGCGCAACATTGGCCCACGACGACCCACGAGGCTCCCAAGACGGACACAAAAAGGACCTCGAGCGGCGCCCGAAGAGGCCCTAACCATCGATCTCTTCATTTCCCCCGCATCCTGTGTGGGGCTCGTGTTTTCCAGAAACATCCTCTCCCTCCGTCCTTCATTCCTCTTCCTTCCTTCTCCGTCCCCGTCTCCCGTCTTCATCCTTTACAAACAACTCCTCTCTGTCGTACCCCCCACACGTGTTTACCTCGGACGTTTCGCCTCACCACTCGTGAATGCTGCAACACTTTCACGGGTGGAGGGCTGGTCTTTTTCAAACTGTAGCTTGCAGTCGCGCCACGCACACTCGCCTTAAAAAACGTCTCAACGCTTGTGCGGATGGAGGACGGGTCCTTTTCCACAATGCTGGTGTCGCCATGGCGGCTCGCAGATCCGTCCTAAAAAAAAGCTTGCAGCACAATCTCAAGCGTGCGGAGCAGGTCCTTTTCAAGATGCGGTTCCTGACTGAGCGATACTCGGATGTTTCTGCAAGGTGTGCAGCGGTTTCGAGAATGGAAGGCCCATCCTCTTCAACGTGTCCTTCTCGCCTTAGCGCCGCGCACAATTCGCCCAACAAAGCAGCAACGACTCTGAGGACGGAGAGCGGCTCCTCTTCAGGATGAGGCTCTCGCCCGGACGCCCCGCGCACAGCAGTCTTTGAAGGGGCCCCAGGACACACAAATAAATACACACAAATAACAATGTTCCCCATATTTTCCTATATTTTCTGGGTTTCTGTCTTCCCCCCCACTTCCCATATTTTCCTATATTTTCTGGGGGATCGACGATTAATTGTGTCTGTGTGTTTTTTCCCCTCCTGATGGACGCCGCGCACAGCAGTCTTGACATGTTGAACTTGTTTCAAGGGCTCGCATGGCACGGTTTGGAGCCGTGAGGACGCGACGGTCACGACGCTTCGCGGTGCTATCAGGGACCTTCTGACCCAAGTCGATCCAGACCCGGGTCAGTCAGGCCTGCAGGATCCTGCAAACTCCGGCAAGATCCTGCACCCAAACCCGGGTCAGTGCGAAGGATCCTGCAGGATCCTGCACCCCAAACCGGGGTCAATGCGACCCTTGCCCTGCAGGATCCTGCAAGATCGGGCGCTCTGGCTGACCCCCGTTTGCTTTGACCCCCGTCTCAAGGCTCCCGATGTTAAACTCCGAGGCTATTAGGGGGAAAACAAACCTACCTCGCTTTTGACTACCCTCGCTTCCGAGAGATACCAAACGATGCCAAACTACGGCCTGTACTGGTCAGGCCGCTTGACGAGGAGGCGCGTGGTATGGCTTGGCTTTGCCTGGAAGCGAAAGCGGGGTAGGTCATTCACGCTCTGAGCTATCCTGGCCCGCGGCCCCACGTGGTCCTGTGCCCGGGACCCGCCTGTCTCGTCGGTCTGTCACCCGCTGCCGGCCCTGTGGATGCCACAGGGCCGCCAGACCTTCTCCCGTTGGCGGCCCCCGAGCGCGTGGGGCACACGTCCGCCCCCCAGCGGCGAGGGGCCGCGCCTCGCAGCACGTCCAGCGCTCGCCGCGTGTGCGCGGGCAGCGGCGCCGACACGAAGTCGCCGGCGGCCATGTAGCCGCTGCGGTCCTGCAGCTGCCGGCACTCCAGGAACAGGTCCGACACGGCCTTCGCCTGGCGGGCGGTGCTGCGACGCACGCGCCGCGCCGCGCCGCGCGGCGTGCACCCCCCGAGAGGTTTCCCGCGGCTGCGCTCGAACGTATCCGCCACCGTGCTCCCTGACCCTGGCGCGTCGAGGCGCGGTAGAGTGCCAGTGACTGCCTGAAAAGGTTTCTTCTGCAAATCTTCAATGCCTCCCCCTGTCATCATACAACGACTCCCGACTCCTCGAACAAAGCGAGGCGCCCGGGTTCCTGAGGCCGCGATCCCTCGTAAAACCAACCTGCGCTCTCCGAGCGAAGATCCTTTGTAGCAAACTTTGGATCTGCGCTCCTGGGGCCACGCGCCCGTGTAAAAATCTGCCAGGCGAAGGACCCAACCATATGCACTTGTGAGTACAACAGTTGTCAGTATCATCTTCGGTGGAGCTCCCTATGGGGCCACGACGACGCGTGCAAGGGTGTGCCGAAACGGTTGCGGTGGCACCATGCGATATCCCACTGGGGCCGTCGGTGGAGTCCCATACGGGGCCACGAAACGTGTGAAGGGTGTGCCGAAATATGTGCGGTGACGGCATGCGAGCCCTCCCAGTCGGGCCTTCGGTGGAGCGCCCTATGGGGCTACGAAACGCGTGACGGGTGTGCCGAAGTGGGCGCGGAGGTCGCGGTGGCGCCATGCGAACCCTCCCATTGGGGCCTTCGGTGGAAAGCCCTATGGTGCCACGAAGCGTGTGAAGGATGTGCCGAAAAGGGCGTTGTGGCGCCATGCGAAACCTTCACATTGCGGCCTTCGGTGGAGCTCCCTGTGGGGCCACGAAGCGTGTGAGGAGTGTGCCGAAACGGTTGCGGTGGCGCCAGGTGAACCCTCCCACTGGGACCTTCGGTTGAGCTCCCCATGGGGCCCCGATGAATGTGAGAGATGTGCCGAAATGTGCGCGGTGGCGCCATGCGAACCCTCCAACTGAGGTCTTCGGTGTAGTTCCCCTATGGGGCCACGGGACCTATGAAGGGTGCGCCGAAACGAATGCGGTGGTGCCATTGGAGCCCTCCCACTGGGGCCTTCGGTGAAGCTCTCTATAGAGCCACAACGCGTGTGAAAAATTCGGCGAACTCGGCGTGGTGGCGCCATGCGAACCCTCCCATTGCGGCCTTCGGTGGAGCTTCCTATATGGCCACGAACCGTGTGAGGGGTGTCCCGAAATGGATGCCGTGGCGCCACGCGAGCCCTCCCACTGGGGCCTTCTGTAGAGCGTTTCGTGGGGCCACAAAACGTGTGAAGGATGTGCCGACATGAGCGCGGTGGCGCCGTGCTCTCGGTGGAGCCTTCTGTGGGGCCACGAAGCCTGTCAGCGTGTGCCGACATGAATGCGGTGTCGCCATGCGAGCCCTCCCACTGGGGCCGTCGGTGGAACTCCCTATGGGGCCACGAAGCGCGTGAGGGTTGTGCCGACATGGGTGTGGCGGCGCCATGCAAACCCTCCCACTGGGGCCTTCGGTGGAGTTCCCTATGGCGCCACGAGACGTGTGAGGGGTGTGCCAACATAGGTGCGGTGGCGCCATGCAAACCCTCCCACCGGGGCCTTCGGTGGAGCCCCCTATGGGGCCACGAAACGTGTGAGGGGTGACCTTCGGTGGGGCCCCACAATGGGGCCACGAAGCGTGTGAGGGGTGCCGAAACGAATGGTGCGGTGGCGCCATGCGAACCCGACCATTGTAGCCTTCGGTGGAGCTTTCTAAGGGGCTGCGCAGCATGTGAGGAGTGTGCTGAAATGTAACTGATGGTGGTGGTCGTGATGCTGAAGCAGGGAAGGGAGGAGGGAGGGGCAGCGGGAGGGAGGTGAGGTGAATGAGGTGAGGTGAGGTGACGCGGGGCGTTTTCTCTTCAAAACAAAGGCCCAACATCACAACATGATTGGGGACAAATGCTGGCTTTACGGTCCTGGCGCAACAGTCACTGGTAAACGCTATTGATCCGCAATCCCGGGGCCACAACCCCTTGTACAAATTATCCTGGCGAAGGGCCCACCCGCATGCACTTGTCAAAACCACTGTTGTGAGAACTGCCTTCGGTGGGGCTCCCTATGGGCACGAAACGCGCGAAAAGTGCGCCGCAATGGTGCAGGGCCGCCACGCGGGCGCTGCCGCTGGGGCTTTCGGCGGAGTTCCCTATGGGCCTATGGGGCCACGAATCGCATGCGGGGTGTGCCAGAGTGGACAGGGGGCGGCAGGCAATTCATGCTGCTCGGACCTTCAGTGGAACTCCCTATGGAGCCACGAGGCGTGCGAGGGGTGTGCCAAATTGGACGGGGAGCGGCACGCGAACCGTGCCATTGTGGCCTTCGGTAGAGCTCCGCGGCCACGAAACGTGGGACGGGTGTGTCAAAATAGGGGGGGGGCGGCGGGCCACGAAACGTGTGATGGGTGTGCCAAGGTGGAGTGGGAGCGGCATGCGAACCGTAACACTTGGGCCTTCGGTGGAACTCGAAACGCGTCAGGGGTGCGCCAAAATGGAAGGGGGGCGGCATGCGGACCACGCCACTGGGGCCTTCATTGGAGCTCCAGGTAAGGCCGCGAAACGTGCGAGGGGTCCGCCAGAGTGGACGAGGGGCGGCCGGCGAACCATGCCACTGGGGCTTCCGATCAGCTCGCGATGGGGCCACGGAACGCGTGAGGGGTGTGCCAAAGTGGAGGGGGGGCGGCATCCGAACCATGCCACCAGGGCTTCGGTGGAACTTCCTATGGGGCGACGTAACGTGTGAGGGGCGTGCCACATGGGAGGAAAGGGGGGCGGCATGCGAACCATGCCACTGGGCCCTTCGGCGGAGTTCCCTATGAGGCCGCGAAGCCTGTGAGGGGTGAGCGTAACTGGAGGGGGGCGGCATGCGAACCGTGCCACTGTAGCCTTCGGTGGAGCTCCCTGTGGGGCCGCGAAGCGTGTGGGGGGCGTGCCAAGGTGGAGGGGGCGGCATGCTAACCATGCCACTGGGGCTTCGGTGGAACTCCCTATGGTGCGACGTAACGTGTGAGAGGCGTGCCAAAGTGGGGGGTAACGGGAGGAGGAAGAGGAAGGAGAAGATTGAGGGATGCAAAAACGCCCGTACCCTGGGTTGCAAGTGGGCGGTCCGTAAACCTCCTAAGGGCTCCCACAGGCCAGAGAGCCGCCAGGACGTCGCGCGACACGCGCGATGTGCAGGGCCTACCCTGGCAGCCCAGCAGGAGGTTCAGCGCGCAGCGCCTCGTAAACCAGGGCAGGGGCGTTTTTTCTACGCCCTCGAGAAATGGGCGCGAGGCGACCGGCGGTTGGCCCCCTCGAGACCGGCGGGCAAATTTACCCTTGACCCCCCCATCTCCGCGAAGTTGCAGTCCCCCGCCCTGATCGAATCGGCCTTGCGCGGGTCTCCCAACGTGCGCTTCGTCCTCGCGGAGATGCCGCGGATCTCGCGGGTGCCCGTTCAGGGTCAATGTGGGCGTTCGCGATGGGCAGCGAGCCCATCGCCCCGCGCAGGCGCGGTGCGCGAGCGCGGCCAGCGATGGCGGCCCCGACCTCGCACTCGCGCCATCATTAGGAGGAAAACAAACCTTACCTCGCTTTTGACCACCCTCGCTTCCAAGAGATACCAAACGATGCCACATTGCAGCCTGTACTGGTCAGGCCGCTTGACGAGGAGGCGCGTGGTATGGCTTGGTTTTGCCTGGAAGCGAAAGCGGGGTAGGTAATTCGCGCTCTGAATCATTCGAAAAAACTGCCGGGACATGAAGAGAAAGTCGCCGCCGGCGGACGGCGCGTCGCAGAACGCGACGAGCGCGCGGTGCGATCGAGTCCCACGCGGCAGATACGGCGCGCCATCCTCTTCGCCATGGGCCGGGCACCGAGGGCCTGGAACTCGCGGAGAAGAGAACGGACATGGTCAGTTTGACATCGGGGGGTGGCGCGACTCGAATACGCAGAACCAAAAACAGCACGCATATTCCACGGGCAAGCGCCGAGCTGACAGGGCGGGTCGCCAGGAAGTCGACGCGTCGAGGAGGGGGGGTGGGGTGGCCTGGCGCGCCACGCGCCCAAGGAAAACAAACTAGGCGCCGGGGGAACGGGCGAGGGAGACAGGACAGGCACAACGTATTCGCTAAGCAGCACATCGTCTTATGCACAAGAAATGCACCCCCCTCCATGAGCCTCGCGTCGCGGGGTCTCGACATCACCGACATTGATGCTCTGAACCCTCCCGTCGCGAGAGGCTCGACGGGCGCGGTGCCTGGCTCCCTGCAGGCCGCGATGGTGAATTTCCGCGTGTTGCTGCTGCACGAGACTGCCCTGCGAGACACCCCTAGTTTTCGCGTCGCGCGGCTGCATGGGCCTCGCTGGACATGCGTCGGGGTCCCCCCCCCGCTGGGAAGTTCCACAGGTTGAGCTCTTCGTGGGCGGCGACGGAGTCCTCGACCTGGGCGGACCTCCTGGCGCGCTTCGCGATGATATGATGTAGGTGTCCTGCGGCGTGACGATCAGCATCTCACTTTTGCAACCATTCACTCCCGACTTGCGGTCGCTGCCCCATTCTGGATGCGAATGAGGCGGGGTTCGGCCAGGGAGCTGGACGCCAACGTGAAGTTATGAGTCACCTAGTGGAAGATCGGCTGCGCGTCCTGCAAGAGGATCTGCTTGCCTGCCAGAGCAGATGGGAACGACTCGCGCGCCGCTAGGTTAAAATGGGCGAAAGACAGCCCCGACGAACCGGACCAATCGATCGGACTGTGCGAACCACTTCCCCAGGGAATCGGCATCCTCGATCCAGTAGATGTCGACGCAAAACTCGCACCACTAGAGAGTGAGTCCTTCATCTCGTTCAACTGATTATGTATGTGTATGCCGGCGTCAAACATCTTGGCGCGGTCGTTGAGCTCTACCTCGGCTAAGCGCGCGCTGACGTTCTACATGGTGGCGTCGTGTGTCTGCAGCGCTGTTCGCAAGCCGAAGGCCATCGGTCTCTTGCGTCATGGACTGCCCCATCTTCGCTATGC